TCAAATCAAGGATCAATCGTCTTTTCTTCTTATCCTCATGATCTTCATTTCCTTTCCCTCCATTCATATAGATATTTCAAAGGCCTTTGGCAAGGTGTAACATAAAAGTTTATTGCACAACCTCTCTAGCTATGGAGTCATCGGAAGAGTTTTCTAAATTATAACATCCTTCCTTCCGAAGGTAGTTGTTAACGGTCACTCCACCGAATCCCAAGCGATCAACGCAAGCCTCTCCCAAGGCTCGCTTTTCGGATCAACCCGCTTTTTAATTTATATAAATGAGCTGTCGAAGGATAGACACTGTTCATTTGTGAATATCTATGTTGATGATACTACGGTATCTTCGTACACCTGTCAAACCCTAGATGACCAGAGCTTGGCAGCTGATCACTGCTCTGACCGAGCTCTAACAGCTCTGTGGGAGGAAAAACTGGCTAGTAACATTAATGACTGAAAAAAAGAAATGTGTGACGTTCCGATATCACCTGGAAAAATGGTGAGTTACCTGTATCACTCCAGTAAGTACCTGACTCGTGTTGCTCTCCTCCACTTTTACAAGAGTCAGATTAAGTAGAAAATGGAGTACTATTGCCATATAAGGACATGGTCTGCCCGGTCTTCACTTTCCAGTCTCGATAGCGTCTAAAATCGTCCCCGCGTCCTTGTAGGTGACACATTATTTCCCACCCTAAAATCCCTTCCCCACAGACGAAACGTCGCAAACCCCACGCTGTCCTATCGCTGTTTCCATAAAAAGTGCTCAGACGAACTACATTCCTTAGTTCCACCGCTCCTAACCTTCATGGCTAAGGTCTGCCAAGCCATGCCACGCCCATTGTAGCGAACAACTCTTATTCCCTTCCATATTCCGTTGGTGAGATGTAAGTTCCACTCGAGAAGCTTTTCCCACGAATCGCTGTTTTGTGGAATCAACTTCCTAGCGGATGCTTCCCAGATTACTTGAATTTTAACCTGTTCAAGTCTAAATCTGCCCCCCACCACATATCTCCATAAACTGTGCCTCTTACTCTGTCTTGAGTGGCTCTTGGGCCTTGTACAGGTTGACCAAAATTGTAAAATAATAGCTCACACTTCATTCAAAATTATATTTTTGGGAATGTAACTCTCTCTAGCCTTATATTCGGTGAAATTTAGTACACACACAAACACACACACACACACATATTTATATATATATATGTGTGTGTGTGTGCGTGTGTGCGTGCGTGTATGTGTGTATGTGTATGATGAATTCTCCTGTCGTTTTCGACGTGTGAGGATACAACAAATCAGTTCTTAGAACCGAACAGCCAGATTCCTCCCACATCATGGTGAAGGCAACCTTTTGCCCGCAGCACAATAATATCAGACCCGAAACCAGTTTGGCTAGACTTTACTACCATACTATATGGAGGTAGTGCAACTGTTAGAAACTCGGAGAGAGAAATCTGTGATCCGGGTTCGAATTCTGGCCAAGTTCGTTACGTTCACTTTTACACAACTACCTTTGATAAAGGTAAGAATCTATCTCCCCCGCTAAAAAAAAAAAAAAAAAAAAATATGGGTTAAGTATCTCCTATTGCTATTTTGAATTCGGCAGCCAGTCTAGAAGAAGGAAAATGCTGAATTCCAAACCAGCCTAAAGATGGATGGGCTCTGTCTGTCTTTAATACCCCAGAAATGCCCCCTTTGTTATGGCTGCACTATATGTGGTGCTCCCACGGCTCTAAGAGCTTACGTATTGACGTGACATGACGTCGTATCACACCCAACGTATAATCCGGATTTGGTGCCTTTTCGGTTTTCATCTGTTCGGGTTGCAGACGACAGTTAATGATTACGAAGTCGTCAGCACTATTGCGAAAAGGTGGGCCGCCTCCAGTAGTGCATATATTTTAATAGCACGGTATATAGTTTCGTGTGATACATAGACAGTGTTAGTGTCTATGCGGAAAAAATTTTTGTTTTGTAGCTGAAAATTTACTCGCGGAGTCATTGTGCTCCTTGTATCTGTTGTCGCTTCTGTGGAAATAAGTAGGCGGCATTACTTTCGGAGCGTCCACGTTTTACCAAATGCTTTTATGAAACTAACATATATTAATATTCTGCATTGTTCAGTCTGATAAGATTCTGATACGAGTTGTGTTTCTTGCTGCAGTGTTTTGAATAAAGCCACAGAGTTTTTTTCCTTGTTTCCGATCTAATTAACTCTTTTCATTAGAATTCTAAAGATTCTACGTGATTCGGCAAACTAATTGTTCCGTGAGGTTTGCATTCGTTTACTCCTGGTTTCGCTAAGCGCTTACATGAGATTTTTGTTCATATATTCATATTTCACAGCCGTGCTTAGCGTCTCGGGGCCCTTGTGGGTGACGAATTATTCTCTACCCTTCAATCTCTCTCCCACGGGCGGGATCTGGCAAGCCTCTCAAGGCAACCCTTCCCAGCAAGAACACGCCATGCCACTTACATAGTAACAGACCGCCAACATTCCCTCTGTAAACCATCGTTGAGAAGTAAATTCCACTCGAGCAGCTTGTTCCCGCGAACCACTGCCCTGTGTAGCCGACACCCAACAGGATGTTTTTCCCGATCACTAAAATCTTAACTTGTTCAAAGCTGGGGTTAACCATTATCATACATTCCTATACACATAATACGTTACCCTCTACCTCAAGTGGCCCCCAGGTCTTGTAATGTGTGAACGTTACTGTAAGAAAAATAAATAAAAATACACTTTATATTTTAAGCATATTGACTAAGTTCCCTACTAACGTCTCACATCCTTTTATTTAATTTTCATTATCTGTCTATATTTCTGAGATGAAGTGTTGTAAATATTTACACTATTTAAATCCGGCCTTCTGGTGATATACTTTGAGATTTCGATTCGAATCTTTTATTTAGTCCACTGGGGTAGATTGTTCATTATACACTATTCTGGTAAGGGGTTTAATGATGGTTTATGTGTTATCAAACAACTCCAGGAAATTGCATACCTCTCCAATAGAAAACAGTATATCTGCTATGTGGAACTCACAACAGCATATGACTAGATCTATAGAGACTTCCTCTTGTCATACATTAGAAATTGACTTTTGATTATAATGAATGTGTTGATCTAATAGAGGAAATATAACACATAATCACAAAATCAAGCATGTCTGACAAAAACCCCAATAAGGAAAATTTTCAAACCTTATCAGGAATAGGACAAGGAGGAAATGAGAGCCCCGGTCTAATCTTTTCCTAGACTATGTTCTGTACATAGACAATCAGAAATGTGAAGTGATGAGCACTGATATTTTAAGCACTCCATAGCACATCCCAAACGAATCTACTTACTGAAAACCTTGATACTGCTTTCTTCCCCGATCCCAATGTACTGATGCTGGTGGGCTATGCTGATGACATAGGTATTCATAGTTGGGATAAGAATGATTTTAGACGAAAAAAAATCAACATCCAAGAAATAGGATTCAAGATAAACCTTTCCAAAACAGGAATTGTGATCAAGAATTGGAATGAAAGCCGTAATAGTGCCTTCCCTGAATTCATCATAAAAAAATTTAAAATGTGGCATTAGTAAAATATTAAATACTTCAAATACCCCGGTGTTTGGATCAGTTATAATAAATTTAGTAAAGGAGATAAAAAAATTGAACATCGAATAAGCTGTGGTAGAGTTTCGTTTCGTCCAACATCGCAAATGGTTGTAAAACCTAAATAGCTGTATTAACCTAAAAACTCATCTTCTTAAATAGCCTCGTCAGATGAAGATTTTCATATGGATGTCATGCATGGTGTCAAACACGTACAGAAATGTTTAAACTGTCAGCTGTATACAACTGCTTCTGAGATCAATGAATAAAAATGGCTTCGAGTTAATGAAACGTGTATGTTTTAACAAGGACCATCCTTTTTTTAAGCATTTCACTCCAAGCAAAGCGTGAGTTCCACTTGTACTCAGGTGGAACTACAGTGAGTGAAAGTGAGAGAGTGAACTTGATTAAATGGACGGCGGTACAATGTTTAGGAGAGATAAAAAACTAAATTTATTAAGAGCAACAAAGGACAGGAAATTGTGAAGAGCCATAATCGCCAAAGTCCTGAAAGGACACGGCAGATAGAAAAAGAACACGCCTGTTATGTTCAAATACGATTTAACATTAAAATCTTGCTGATTAGAGATTTGGATAAGAAGCGAATATGTAAATTAAAAAAAATAGATGGTGTTTGGATAGTTAAAGTGTAGTTTAATTAATTAAATTCCCACTTTTTTTAAATAATCTATTTATAAATAATTATCATATAATTTCTATAAATAAGAAGTGGTTTGGTAACGAATTGTGGGTCCACGGTCGGTGATCTTTAATTAAATATCTATTTATAAAAACAAAAGAAGAATAAAAACAAAAGGGACAGAAAGTGATCCATTCCCTTCGCATTGTCTCCAGTAACCAAATCTATTAATAAAAGAAAGAAAAGAGAACTAACCATTGACTGCTAATCGTCCCTGATCTCACAAATGTCGGACCATACGGAAGTCCTCATATTAATTACAAATATACATACATCTTCTTTCTTGACAACTTCTTTCCGTGAGTGTTGGTAGGCCTTGAAAGACAAAGGGGAAAAAAAGAAGAAGGTCAAATAAAAACAGAAAGCGAAAGAAAAAGTAAACGAGAAGGAAAATAGAAAGGAGAGAAAAGAAAGGAAAGGAAAAAAAGAGTGTTAACAAAGAGGTAAAACAGTAAAAGAAAAAGAAAAAGAAATGAAAGAGAAAGATAGGAAAGTATACATAAGGCACGGTGTGTAACTATGTATGCGGAAGCAAGCGTATATATATATATATATATATATATATATATATATATATATATATATATATGGTTTGAAAATATGGGTGAAATCTTTGCAGCACAATCTTGTATTAACTCTAGTTACCAATTTTGTTTTCCGCTTTGCTAAGACGCTAAGACGAGCTAAGTGGATAAAAGCTAAGAAAAGAAAAAATAGGAGGGATGGAAGAAGAAGAAGAAGAAGAAGAAGAAGAAGAAGAAGAAGAAAGAAAGAAAGAAAGAATAATACAAAGAATAGAAGAAATAGAAAAATAAGAGAAAAAAGAAATAGAAGAAGCAAAAAAAAGAGAAAGAAGAAACAGAAATCGAAGTTAAGAGAGAAAAAGAAATGGAATAACAAGAATAAAGAAAAGAAATAGAAGATGAGTAAAAAGAACGGAGAGGGCAATAGAAGAAGAAGAAGAAGAAGAAGAAGAAGAAGAAGAAGAAGAAGAAATAAAGGTAAAAGAAGATTGATTTGTTTTTACGGCTTATCAACCTTTTTTCAGATTACTTAAAAATAGAAAGTATTTTTAGATTTTAAGAATTTTTTTATAGATAATAATGAGTTACTCATATGTCCTACTAATTAACCCATACCTGGAGGGAGAAGTGGTCACACCTTTACCAAAACTATTTACCCAAAAGTGAATATTACGAATCTGAGCTTGGATGTTCAGGTAGTGTAATGGACGACGGCACGGAATTGGACAACGGAGAGCCGAGTTCCAATTCCGAGCCGTTGTCAATTACACCACCTGAACATCCAAACTCATAGCGTCTGGTATTCCCAACCGCTCACCCATCTAAGTACTGACCAGGCTCGACGTTTTTGTGATCACACGTGAACCGGTGTTTCAACGTGATATGGCCGTAAGGAATTGATAGACGAAACAGATGAGGATAAAAAAAAAGGAAGAAGATGAAGAAAAAGAAGAAAAAGAAGAAATGGGAAAAAAGTAGAAGAAAGCTAAAAAATGAACTGGAACAAGTGGAAGGAAAGAAAGAAGATTAAAACGAAGAAGAAATGGAAGAAAAAGTAAAAGAAGAACCATAAGAAATGTAAAAAGTAAGAGGAGACGAAAGCGATGAAGTAGAAGAAAAAGAGAAAGAAGAAATAGAAGTAGAAAGAAAAATAAAAGACAGAATAAAAGAAATAAAGGTTTTCAAAAGTTTTCATCGCAAGTAAGAGAGGGTATAGACCTATTACCATGGCTCGTAAATACTATTACATATATTAAACGTCACAGTTCAACTCATTTGATATTGTTTATTTCTTCTTTCAAAAAATGATTCTGATGTTTGGTCATTGAAAAACTTCTCTGATACTGCTATTACGTCTAAATCCTTTTGAAGATTTCCTGCTCTTCAAACTCATTTTAAGGTTTGGACACAGGAAATAAGTAGATGGGTCAATATTTCGTAACTACGATAAATAGCCGATGCAATCAAACGCCAAATTCTTCAAAATATCCGCCGTCTTTTCAGCCTTGTTAGCCAGTACCATGTCCTTTAGAACGAGAATAACTTTTCGCAACTGCTCTCGCTATTTTTCTTTCGAAGCCTAACCTCTTAAGCTAGAGCATTGTTCTGCATAAACTCTTTTCCCCTTCTCAAGATCCTCTTCTTCTATGTGCCGTTTACCTTCAAGACGTCAACGTTCATGGCTCTTCACAGTCTTCTATCCCTTGTAGCCTTTAGTGACGTTTTTTCTTTGCCAAGCCTTCTATCCTCCATTCAGTAATCCATTCAAACAAGCTCGTCAGGTAAGTGGACCGCTACTTTTGATATATCCTGTGAGTTAAATTCTCCAATCCCCCCTTTCTCATTATGTGTAATAGAAATTTAATCTCTCTTCCTGATTCTGATTATGTTTTTTTCTTTCCAATATCCTTAAGACATCTTCGTTGCTTACACGCTCCTTTCATGGAATTCTCAGCACCCTTTTTTTAGAAATATATTTATAAGTAAAATAAATAGAAAAAAATGCAGAAAAGAATTTTAAGATGTAGAAGAAACAGTAAAAGAAATATAAGTATTATTATTATTATTATTATTATTATTATTATTAGTAGTAGTAGTAGTAGTAGTAAAAGAAGAAGAAAAAGGGACAGAAAAAGAATTTTAAGAGATTGAAGAAAATGTAAACGAAGAATTAAAAGTAGAACAAGTCGTAAAAGAGGAAGAAGTATAAGAAAAAGAAGAAAAAAGAAAGTATAAGAAAAAGATTAAGCAGAAGAAGAGGAAGACATAGAAGAAGAGAAAGAAGAAATAGAAATTGAGATCTCACAATTTATAGTTGAGCTGGCTAGATGCAAATTCTCTGCTAACAGTTTCGCACTTCTCGCTTGTGGAACTCCCTTACTTCTCCATGCTTTCCAGACAATTTTAATCCGCAAAAATTTAAATGCAATGTCAATCGCTATTTACTGTCCTCCTGATTAATCTTTCCTCTTTCCGCTCATTATTAATGTTTCTGTTCCTAATTCTACCACGCTTTGTTATCTCTTGTGTCTCAATGGGTTTAGTGCTTTGCATGGGATGCTACCAATTTTAAAAAAGTAGAAGAAAAGAAAATTCTACAGAAGAAATAACAGAACTTGAAGAAAATGTCTGAGAAGTAAATGAACGAAAAAGAGGAAGAAGGAGAAGAAAAGCAAAAGGAAATAAAATTAAAAGAAAAAAAATCGCCAAAAGTAGAAATAGAAGCAGAAAAGGTCAAAGAAGAAATAAAAGAATAGAAGGAAAGGAAAGAAGAAAGAAAGAAATAAAGGCAAGAAGAATTAAAAGTCGAAGAAAAAGAAATTGCTATAGAAAAATCAGAAAAGTCGAAGATATAAAGAAATATACAAAGTTTTATACATCATCAAATTTTATGCAATTCATTTATTACTAACCTCATGGATTCCTTATAACAGTTTTTTTTCAGTAACTTTTTTCTTTTAATAAATATTTTTAAAAACCTCCCTCAAAGGAATGTATAATAAACAAAACTAGTCTTTTATGGTAACTTTTTTTATTTATATTTTAATTATTTCTATTACATTTTACGTTTCTTTTGTATCATATAATTTTTTAAATAAATATATAATCTTTTTTCGAGGTCTCTGACTGCTAAAAAGATTGAAATTTAACAATTCATTTTTATATGAAAAGTACAGGTTTGCAACGAGACAGTGAGGATCTCACTTGCTCTACGAGGAAACTGTGTAACAAAATTTTGACATTTCTTTGTCTTTGGTCAATCTATGTTATTTCTTAATTGAGAAATAGTCATATAAGAATCAGAAAAAGTCGAAAAAATAAAAGAAATAGAAAGAATAGATGAAGAGAAAGAAAAAAAAGAAAGGTAGAAAGAAAATAAAAGAAAAAAGAATAAAAAAGAAAGAAAAGTACAAGATATAAAAGCAGTAGCAGTAGAAATAAGATGTAGTAGTTGTAGAAGAAGAAGGAGAAAAAAAGAAGAGGAGAAAGAGGAGAAATAAAAAGAAATATAATTGACAAAAATTACATTTAGGTAGAAAAAAAACAAAACAAGTTCGAAACAATGGACATATTTTTGCCGCTGTCTTATTTTCTCATTAGTAGCTCGTTAAGACACCGACCTACGACTTCCGTTTCAATTCTTACCTTCTCTCCTTTTCCAATCCCTTTTTTCCTTTGCCTTCTTCTGCTCATTTTCTCTCGCCAATTCATTTTTCAAATCTTTATTAGCTTCTTATTTTCTCTTCTTGGATTCTCTTAATCCTTTTCCCATTTGTTTTCCCGTCCGATTAGCCAGCCATTTTTTATTGTTTTGTCTTCTTTAACATGTTTTTGGTTTTATTTCGCCTTTGGATTCTGCGTGACGAGATCAGAAAGACTCTTCTACACTGTGTTGAAAAGCGAATCATTTTTGTTTTTTACAATATCGTCTTTCAGCCCACTGTACCACCTCTCTCTCTCTCTCTCTCTCTCTCTCTCACACACACACACACACACATATATATATATATATATACATATACCTCCGAAGAAAAGCGATACCTAAGGTTTAAAATTAATTTTTAAAAATGAATTTAAAAAAATGAAATATCTTTCTTAAAGCTTAAATTTCATTTTTAATGTCAAGCTAATACATTAAATTTAATATTTCCAATAAGCAAAATACTTTGCTTTATTTCAAAACTAAAAGTATCGCAGAAAAAGCATTTTTTTTTAACTTGGAGGTAGGTGTTTTCATGAGGTGTTGACAACTATCTCGATAGACATATTTTTGGAAATTCTTTCTACGAGGGACATATCTGTAAAAATTACTTGACGAATATAACGCTTTTTTATTTAATTTTTAGCTACCTTTAATCTTAAAAAATTAGGAAAATATTTTAAATAATCTAATCTTTTACTAGATGGATTTTACGCACACTGATTACAGTTACCGCTCATTTTCTGATAAAGTCATGTATGGACATCCGTATTTACAAAAATCCGCATGCTTATACACACACACACACACACACACACACACACACACACACACACACACACACACACACACACACACACACACAAAAATTCTTTTTAAAATACTGGGTGACACTGAATTGTAGAAAGCTTTTCTATTTATGTTTACTAAATATAGTTTTTATTTAATAACAATATCATGTAACCGCTACAAATTAATAACAAAGTTAAAATTTATAAATTATTCTAATAGCGGATAAGACGCTAAACATTTTTATTTAATAGCTTAACATTCTGGCGTTATAAAATATATCTTATACTAGATTACATTATTTAAAGTTAATGCTATATTTTTTTTTCAAGATATGCAAAGAAAATACCATGGAATAATAGGAAAAATCCATCGACAAAAATTAGAATGACAATTTTGATATTTTCAGGCACGGATTTCACTAATTTAAAGTAATATTCTTTATCAAATTGGTTCCAACTTTCCCCGAATAACGGTTAATGGATTTTTTTTTGTTTTTTGGTGAATGGAGTGTTCTCATGGGCAATTTAAGAAAAAAAGATTCCACCATAAATTTTCAATTGGATTCAGATCCGGACTTTTCGTTCGCTACGTCATTGATTTTATATCCATTTTCTGAAGAAAAGCTTTAATCCGTTTAATCCGATCTGTGACAAGATGCATTATCGCTCAGAAATATGACTTCATCATCACCAAACTAATTTGATATCAATAGAATGAAAAAATTACCATTATTTTAAATAATTTAACCTAGTTTGTTGAAGGCATATTTTACGAAGTCGTAGCATTTCTATATGGTTTAATGGTTAGCAAACTTGCCTCGCTTAATAAAGTATGACAGAGTAGTGATTTCGATACTCAATGGGTGTTTCTTAACCTGGGCGTCTTGCCACATCTAAGCTACGCTTAGTAAATCAATCCTTAATGAAGCTAGAATTTATTTTTGGTCTTATATTTATTTATTTTATTTGTTGCTAAATAATAATAAAAAAAACCTTAAGTGAACCGCCTCGCAGTGTACTAATTCCATAATTATTGCCAGGGGTTGTAATGACTTTTGAGTCAATGTGCTTAGCGGAAGCACTAAAATACTGAGGGAGTTGCACAACGAAAATAGGAATGAAAATTTGTATTCTATACAACATTGTTTCAGTAACGTTTTTAATTACAAGCCTAAAAAGAATTTCTCTGGTTTGGCGATTCTTCAGTGCGGAAACTATTTATATATATATATTTTTTTACTATATTTCAATAATGAATAAAACTCAATACTGAGATTGTCTCATGTTCCAGTCACCTTGGCGCACAAGTGTGCGGGTACCCTAATTTTCTTTCATTATGATGAAAGGAAATGACACCAACACTTTCTTTCTTTCTTTCTTTCTTTCTTTCTTTCTTTCTTTCTTTCTTTCTTTCTTTTCATCCAACTCCTCCTCCTCCTCCTCCTCCTCCTTCGTCTCTCTTCAACTACAGGATGAAAAGACATATCTCGTTTTCCTCCGGGGGATAACAATAACACTTTATATTCTAAAATACATATTTATATATTTGCCTTATTTTTGGTAACCATAAATTAATATGGGAATTTTATTTTTTTTTTTTGTGCTGAAAAAATTCTTGCAGAATTCAAATAATTTTCGGATTTTAATAAAAATTTCATGATTTATTCACAAATGAATTAAATTATGTTTTAAACGTTTCGTTTTTAGAAAATCTTGGACAAAATATTTTTTTTTCTGTTACCCCTCACTTATTTAATTTTATGTAATTTCCAGAAATTCATTTTTGTAGCGCTTAATGTTTATTTTAGTTATAAGCACACGTCCTTGGAGAATTTAAATCAGCATTTGTTTTGTAAAACAGGACACGTAATTACAGAAAATCTACACAGAATCATAAAATACAAAAAATGCAATAACACTAAGTCATTATTTAATTAGAAATGTTTATGACTTTTAAGATATATTATGGACATTATTGTCTTACGAAATTTTTTTTTGCATGAATAATGAATTTTAACAAGAATTGTTTTTATTTTTTAAAATTTTAATTATAATTATTTATAAAGTTTTAAATTTTTTAAAATTCTGTATTAATTTGAAGCAGTTAGGTGATATTATTAAGTAAAAACTATATTTAGTAATCAACACATTACTACAATTCATCGACCCCAGCATTTCAAAAATAATTTTTTATTTTTTTAAGGTGTGTACAAACGTGTCGATTTTTGTAAATACGGACGTGGATACACAAACTTATCACAAAATAAGAGCGGCAACTATAGTAATTTTAAAACCACAGTACACAAAATTCAATAAAATATTAGATGCCTTATAATATTTTCATAAATTTTAAAGATTACTGGGTAGTTAAAAATTATATAAAAACGCGTACGCGTCATATTCGTCAAATACTTTTTTACAGATATGTCTCCTGTAGAAAAAATTCTCAAATATAAGTCTATCGAGACAGTTGTCAACACCTCATAAAAGACCCACGACCGTGTTAAATAATATTTGTTTCAAATCAGATTAATTAAACTTTAAATCAGTTAATCTTCCTCAAATAAAAAATATATTTTATTTTGGAAAGATTTTTTTTAATAAAGACAATTACGGTGTGCTGACAGATTTGTAAATATTGTCTAAAATCAGCCATTTTTAGCGATTTAAAATAAACTCATTCCAGTCAATTTAAATTCGTTTTGAAATTCAGTAAAGTATTTTGGTTATTGGAAATATGAAATTTAATCGATTGGCTTGAAATTAAAACTAAAATAAAAAAGATTTAAGAACGATTTTTCAATTTTAAAAAAAATCATTTTAAGCCGTAGGTTTTTCTTTGGAGGTACCCCATATATATATATATATATATATATATATATATATATATATATATATATATATATATACATACATATATATATGTGTGTGTGTGTGTGTGTGTGTGTGTGCTAACTTGAATCTGAATCTAGGCTATAGCTACCTAGTATTCACTGAGTTTCGAGAGCATTTCGATAAACTTATTATGTTAATTCGCTAATTATAGCACTATGACGATTACTCAAATAAGTTCATATAGATATTTATGATTATAAAGGCACAGTACAAGTCAAAATAAGAATTGATAAATGTAGAAGCATTGTGTTGTGCCAGTTTTCTGAGCGGAGAGAACTTGTTTACTTTGAAAATCAGCATTCGAATTCCCGTATTTCACATAAATTTGGGCATCAAATTCAAATTCAAAAGTTAAAAAAAATAAAGAATGTGCAGAATGTTTATGTTAACTCTTTGTTTCTATTCTTTTGTCATTAAATAAGCGAATGGAAGCTTGTAAATGTGTGAACACAAACAAATATTAGACATCCATAGTGACATGCATGCGGAGAGGCGTCATCTAACCACCCCCAGCATCATTCGATCCTGCTGTTCGTCTCAACCTTATTTTTACAACGTTATTTTCTCATTTCCTTTTGTTCCTCAAGCAAAAGAGTCAAACTGTTTCTTGCGTCTGCACGCAGAGAACGTCAAGTGATTAATGTGGTGAGAGTTTGAAATTATATTGAAAATAGCCAATGAGAAGAAGGACGTCAGGGAAAGAAAGAGGAGGCAAAAGAGGTAATAGAAATATATATATATATATATATATATATATAGAGAGAGAGAGAGAGAGAGAGAAAGAGATAGGGTGAAGACACAAGGAAACGAGAAAGAGGCCAAGAAGAACGAGTTTGAAAAGACGGATGAAGAGAACAAAAGAGGAACTATAAAAGTAGAGGGATCAGGAGGGAGAAGTAAAGGAGGAAGGGGAGATGGAAGAAAAAGAGATGAAAGTAGAAAAGACGAAGAATGGGGAGAGGGAACAAAAGAAAGAGAAGGAAACGGAAAAAAAAACAGAAGGCGGAGTAGATGAAAGAAGGGAAGGTGGGGATGGAGTAATAAAGAGAAAACAGCGATGAAAAAGGAGGTGAAAGGTGGCGAGGAAAGAAAAGGAGTTGCAGGAGGAAACAGAAGAAAGGAAGGAGGAGATGAAAAAAGATAAAAGAAACGGAAGCATAAAACGCGTAAAAGGTGGGAGGTTGGGTGGCGAGGAAATAAAAAGAGGAGGAGATGGAAGAAAGAAAAGATAAGATGGAAAAGTAGAAAGAAACGGAGGAGAAAAAAGTAGGCGAAAGCGTCATAGGTGGAAGAGGAGAAGGTATTGAAAAAAGAAAAGAAAAAAAACGAAAAGAAAAGAAGGAAGAGAAAATGTTAGTAATAGTTTTTGTCGTATCGACATTTTAATAAAAAGACAGCGAAGAGAGGAGGATGACTGAAGAATTCCTGAAAATTAACAATTACCATATTTTTACCGGGTTGGAAGACGCCCCTTATTCAAATGCACTTGATGTTCACTTATCCAGCTTATACAAACCCCAATACTAGTCGATTTTGAACTGCGGTATACGTCATTTTAACAGTGCACTGGACTACAATAACATAAATTTTATAATTAAAATATGTTCTGTCTGAATTTCTGGGATGAGGAGTTATCATTATTTACTTTATTTATATTCAGACTATTGTCCCCATCTTTCTTGCCGTTATCGCAAAGTTTCAGTTATTGTGCCCCTTGGTTCATATATATCTGATGAAGGCCGGAATATATATATATATATATATATATATATATATATATATATAATATACACGCTCGGTAAAGCAAAGTGATTGAAGCCTAAATTGCCTAGACAGAGCGAAAAACGTTTAACAACGTTAAATTCTATGAAAGGGTGGCCCTTGTCCTAACCTGAGTTTTATATTCACGATATCTTCAGACTATTGAACGCAAATGGGGAACAAAAATATAACAAAATAATTTTATTTAAAAATAACCTGTGGATTACCACATCTTCACAAGAAAACAGGCAAAGGAAAAATCTCTGTGGGTGGGACTAAACACTGTTAACTTAGGTTTTGTTTTTTCTTTAATAATAATAATATGTGTAAATATTTATATATATATATATATATATATATATATATATATATATATATATATATGTGTGTGTGTGTGTGTGTGTGTGCGGATGTGTGTGTATAAGTAAACAGACCAGTAATGTAATGTCATTCGATGGGGTTAAAATATAAGAATTACTTTGTGTTTTGTGTTTAAATTGCTAAGATGTTCCATAGAATTTCCACCAGTTTTTTTTTTATATCTTTGTAAGTATTTATAATGATTAGCAATAGGCCATATATTCATGACAGATCACCTGAAAAAGAAGTAATATCTTTGGCCAAGTTAATGACGCAACTCTCTTTTGGGGAGGGGTTAGCATTCAGTAGAATTACGAGTGCGACTGAGAATTCCTGACAATATATTCTCTGCAATTTTCCCGTCCCAAAATAAAGCTTTGCCCTTGTACATGTAAAATGGAATCAAATTTGCAGATTTAATAATATTGCTTCATTTGTTAATAACAATAATTTTTCCAGTTGCACGTCTTATTATTTAACCCATACTTGGGAGATTAAATGGATTCATAACTTTCCAAAAGGTATTTGCACGTAAGTGAATATAAAGAACGGCACTGAAACATCGAACGTGGCTCTCCGGTTCCTCATTCCGAACTGCTATTCATTACACCACCTGAGCATCCACCGCAAATTAAAAAAAATAAACGTGCTGAAAAAATACGTCATATTCTATGACAAATGTTTCCTATTTTAATTTTCACTTCGCGGTTTTCAGAACAGCTTCAGCGACTCCCTCCCTTCGAATAATTTCAGTTAACGGAACAGCCACAACTCGATTTGTTTCGCAAGCTATTTTAATTTGCAATTTAATTTCAACTCGTGAAGCAGCTTCGAGGGACTTCTGTTGACAAAAAATTGTTAACATGCTAAGCTCCATCGTGCAAAAGTTAATAAGAAATCAAGCTAGCATTATACACTCATTTTTGTATTTTTCTCGTACTAGAAGTGAATAGATTAACTTGTTTTAAAATGTAATTAAATAAAAGTTATTTAGAATAGGCTAAAATAAATATTACGTATCTATTTTTCTCAAATATATATGATATATATATATATATATATATATATATATATATATATATATATATATATATATATATATATATATTGATATTTTATTCCGAGTTGCCCATTTCGCGAATCAAAAACAAAAATTAATTCCCCTGTGAGAAAAAATAAATATGTAGTTTAAGACTCTTCTTAAAAGGAGTCATATCAAGGATGGCGTAACTTCCAAAGAAAATTTTCGTAAAGTAGAATTTTACGAGTCTGGTCATCCATATCGAAAATAACCAATGGTTGATTTTGAGGAAAATGTGCAAGACCCCTTAGGCATAGAAGGACCAACATTTTCTTTTACAAAATGGAGTGCAGGTAGTGAAATGTCTGTAATAGCTTATCCTAAACTAACATGCAAATCATTGCTTTACGGCAGGTAACACGGATCTTGGTGATATATACAAATTCTTAAAAAGGCTTTTTTTTTTCGATCAGCTGAGGTTTAGGCAATATTCCTTAAATTGTTTTTCAAGAAAAATAAATATCCCTCCGATTAGTTACATAGAATCTGAGTCTTTTTTTTAAGAAGACAGTTGTACCAGTGGGACGTCTGTTAACTGAACAAAATTTCAAGGTCTCCTGAATATTTAAATTTACGAATTTCCCGCGAGTTTAAATTTGTTACAAGTGTAACACTTATACACACATGGACATGCCAATCGTTATCTTCTGTTTTCTTAATTCTTATTTATTCTTTTATTGTCCCCTCTCCCCTTCATGGTAACCCCTGCGTCCTAGTGACTTTTTGGCCTTGCTTGGGGTGAAATGATATATATATATATATATATATATATATATATATATATATATATATTCTCATATGCACCTCTGCAGCTACTGTAAGGAAAGATTGTTCAGTGTGTCTTGCCAGAAGTTGCTTTTTTTATTTTCCTCGTCAGAATCGATCCTGCACATTTATAAATCTACCATTCGTTCTTGAGTGGCCATACTGTTGCCATATCTGGTTTAGTGCCCCTGCTGTTCATCTCGAGGTTCTTGACAAAATCCAAAGAATGATCTGCAATGTAAACAATCCTGATTTGGCATCTCGACTTCAGCCACTTTCTCACAGACGTGATGTAGCTTCCTTTTGTCTTTTCTACAAATATTTTCATGGAAACTGCTATGACGAACTTTGGCATCTAGGTCCTACTCTTTTACTGTTGAAAGAGTTAAATGTAACCGTCACTTCTACTCCAACAGTTTCTTTTCTCGCACTTCCCGACAGAGGAACTCCCTCCCGCTTACCTGAAAACTAAAATATTAAAAAAATTAAATGTAACATCAATCGCTATTTTCTGTTGTCTTGGACCCCGTTCAACATTTATCCTTGCTTCAATCCCCCTATACCCAGAGTTTTCTCTCACTTTCACTTTCTGTAAGCCCCTGCGTATTAGTGGCACTACCGTCTTGCATGGGGTGAAATGATTTGGTGTCATCCCCCTTAGATATCTAGTCACGTTGACACTATAGTAGTCACATAAGAGGTGAGTATAAAAGATGTGCTGAATTCGAAAACTGCTTCTTCGAGTGTAACGTTCACACGGCGTCCATGATATGACTAGGCTTAAGGCAGCAATTAGTTTTTGGCGACTTGCATTCTACCTAATTTTATCACACGCATGCGCCAACACACATACAAATGATATATTTTCAAACGATTTCATGTCAGTGGAACTAAAACATTAAGAATTTAGTTTTGCGTTGTTATCGTTGTCTTTTTACAGATTTCTTTTTTTTGTTTCTACAAGCGTGATTAAAGATGTCCCTCGTATATTTATAGACGTGATGGAGTTTACTCGCTTATTTCTGTCGCCATGTTTACGAAGAGAAAGCTGACGGTCAGTTTGATGATATTCCACCACTTTAAACAGTGTTGAATGAATTTTCAAGGCAAAGATTATAAAGGAAATCAGATACCGTCACCTCCTGCAGTAGCCATTAATGAAGCTGTCGATGGTTTGTAATTTTTCACCGAATAAAAGTCGACTCCATTAAGATGGTGCATCTTCATGAAATGAAAGAAACAAAGAAAGACATGAATCTCAAATAAAAGAGACTAAAATATTTTCCACATAAAATAATCATCGATCACCCACTTAATGAACTTTATTTACATCAACCGGGCATCTTCGACGAGCTCTGTCCGCTTTCAATGCACTGGCATAAATATATTACGTTCTGATTCTTTGGAATATTCAGCTCCATATTTTCGCAATTTAAATGACAAATAACTTGATTTCTAAAGTTAAAATATTAAGAATATTTAAACAATGTTTTTACTCATTTTGTCGATTTAATGAAACCCTTTAAATCTTCTCAAGTATGGCTTTCTGCTTTTCATGATCGGATCAGTTATTCAAACACTCAATTATGCGGCAAAATACCAGTCTCCATTCTCATTCAAATAACAGTCATTCTATATATATATATATATATATATATATATATATATATATATATATATTTATATATATATATATATATATATAAAGATTTTAGAGTTCCATGAAAATAAGTGGATACAACATTTAAAAACACACTATCCAGCCGGGCTAAACCATAAATTTAACAATATAGATAGTATTAATATATAACCCTACAAATCAAAACCTACCCACATTTCTCACTCACACAAGACAGACATGCTTACGGAGGTGTTGAGGCCTCACACTTATACACTCACCCACACGAATATACACACTTACACACATCATGCTCACTCACTCCCTAATGAGTCAAATGATAACACATACCCACAGTAATATACACGCTTACACATATCATACTCACTCACTCTTTAAGAACCAAATAACACACACACACACATACTTAACAGAGACACATCCCCTCTCCAGGAACCAATAAAACTGTCAAACTGACCAGAGGAATTCAGAGCAGCATGGATCCATCCAGCCCTTATCTCAAATAACAACTTAAAAGAGACTGTTTGACCAACACAGGGAATGTTAAAAAATTTGTGTTAAAAAGATAAAAAATAAAAAAACAAAAGAAAACTACAGACAAAAGTTCATCTTCTCCATCAAGACATTCATTTCTGTAGTTCACTGCTATCAGCAAGTAGAATTTTTTTATGCGCAAG